ACCTAGTACTCTGATACGGTATTTTCTTTCTGCCTCTGTTAAACGACGCCATCCATGCTGACGCGTCAGGCGTTGTGCACCGGGGTTCAGTTTCGCCCGACATCCATCCAGGCAAAACGGGTCGCATGCAACCCCCATCGCCCCGTATCGCTGGATGAATGTCGGGCGAAACGGCACCCCGGTTCCTGGTCCCTGGTGTCCCCTCTCCCCATTCTTGCCAGTTTTCTCCCAGCCTGAATGCTTCGTGCAGGTACATGATGAGAGGGCTGCTGGTAAGTTCTGCCTACCAGGAGGAAAGAAGCTGCCAGTGTTTGGTAGGCCAAATCCTGCAACAGTTCAAAAATCTAGGGCGGCGGATAACTAGGTTCCCGGATTTTGCTTCAAAGGGAGTGGCAGTTGACCCCCCCCCCCCTCCCCCNCCCCCCTCCCCCTCCCTGGCTCCAACCTATGCGCCGCTGAGCTGGGGGTAACAGGCACCACCAAATTTTACAGTGGGCTGCATAATATTTTATGGCGTACCTTTCTTTGCCTTTTGGCTAAGAGCAAGTGTTGTATCGGTTCCGATCAGCTTGATATCCGAGCGCGATAAACAACAAAGAAACATTGGTGGTACACTGCCGATATCCGAGTGTCATGAAAACTGGTGGTACACTGGTGCCTACAATGTTGCAACCGCCTTCTCATATATGCACAGGAGGCGTGCAGATACCATCAAATTTCATGTAGGTTTGCACAATATTTTACTGTGGAGGCCACCACAAAATCTGGCAGCGTTGGTTTAAATCACCAGCGTGGTCCATCCAACTTCGTTGCATTTCGCCAACCCTGCCCCTGCCCAGCTTTCGTTGCGATTGGGCGATTGGGCCTTCTGGGTCGGTTGTCCGATAGGCCGAATCATTTCCCAGCCTCCTTTGGCAAGGGCACATTTTTGGGAAGGTTGTGTCCTGCACTGGTGGCTTAACAGAGCTGGCAGGCTTGACTTTCTTAAGGGAGACAGGATTCATTATCTGTACCCGCGGGACGCTGGGCCCCATTTCCAGCAGGTGCAGCTCCCCACCAATAGAATGGAGCAACCAGTGTACCACCCTAGTAGAAGGGGTGATTAGAGCTCGTATGACCCCTGCTATTAGGTGGCGACTAGTAAAAACCGTTTGGTGATTCGAGCTCATGCAGTGTGCGAACGGTCTATACCACACCCTCCCCGCGCTGTCTGCGCACCGCAGCGCTTTTGTTTCCTGCGCCTTTTCGTTGGGCTCGCCCCTCGTCCCTGTCCTTTTCCCAACACAGGGCGGCCGGGTCTCAGTGGGAGCGTCACGCGAGACCCAGGTCAGTCTTTATAAAGATATACAATATAATATAATATGAAGAGTATAGATATAGATACAGGAAAAAGAAGGCGTCGCCAGACTCGACTACTGCATCTTCATAGCGGAATTTCAGATATCCCACGGCAATACGTGGCTCTGCGAAGCATGATCAGTGAAATCCAACCCTTAGTTTGTCACAAACTTCCAGAGAGTATGCTGGGGCCAACCCTTAGTTTGTCACAAACTTCCAGAGAGTATGCTGGGGCCTTGACGTCTTCTGGAATAGAGACACAGTCATTCACACTCCACCTTGTCAAGACTCACCGCGTAAACATAGGGTTGAGCTAGAACTGCATTCCCAATCCATCTAGAAAAACTGTATCGCTTTCTCTTCTGAAGGGAGGATATCATTAACAAAACAAATAAGGGGTAGAGGATGTGCCTTTCTCCTTGTGTATGGTACAGCTCATGGAGAACGGAGGAGGAAAATAAGGCTACCGTCTTCACCAAAATAAACGGCTGGTCATTAAACCACCAGTACTTCGCCCGTATATGGGTAGTCTATCTAGAAATTGCACATATCCAAGCCTCTGCCCCTTCGGCACTGTCAGTCGCACACTAATGTCAGACGAGCAAGAGGTAGTCTGCCGACTTCCATTTTGCTGCAGGGTTTGTGATGGAACACGGTCTCTCGATAACGGTCGCCACGTCTACACTCCGAACATAACATCATGGGCCAGTGAGGAGCGATAGTGGGCCACCGAGTAACCGCAAGCTCGTGATATGGTAAGAAGCTTGAATAGGGGGCAAAGGACGTTTCTACGATCATGAATCCTGATCGCACAAAACCAGAACACTGATACTTGCCGCGGAACAGATACGGGACAATGGATCTTTGCTGTAGCTTCCGGTACATCCCATTCACATACACACGTCTGCTGTTCGTTATAGGGGGAAGGCAGGCACGTGGCGACGCAGATTTGGCAGGCATGGGAAGAGCCGGACAGCATTGTCCATACAAAACTACCCAGAGTAAGCAAATACCGCCCAGTTAGTCCGGTGAATGATTGAAGGCAAGTCAAAGCGCACAGGACGAATTACACACACATCAAAACTTAAGTCTATAAAAGCCAACTCAAAAACAGTGAGAGTTCACACATCCATTTCCGCGTCAATACTCATTTATTGCGTCGAAGAATCTGTCGAATCCACACATCTTCCATCATCATGCTATCAATGCAAGTAAGCATTCTCATAGCACATGCTCATCGACTAAATCCACTCCAGAGTCCAGAAGGGAATACAGACACCAAAACAAGCCACCCTGCACAAACTTTTTCATTTCCATCAACAAAATATAAGAAAAACTGCATTACCCCGCTCTCGGGCATACAGCACACCTGCCAGAAACCCACCCATCTTTTCAACAATCTCGCCGGCACCAACAGTCCATTGTCGCACACTCGTCGATACCCTGGTGACCGTCACTCTGCCAATCCAACCAAGATGCAACTCCACCCATGTCCTGCAGCTACGTATCGACATCGCCGGATTGTGATCAGCCCGTGGAGCCTGTCCGGCCCGCCAATCCACCATCTTGTCACTTCCGTCAACAAAACATAAGAAGAAGTACAGTAGCCCGCTTGAAACCCACCCATCTTTTCAACAATCGCACGGGCGCCAACAGTCCATCGTCGCACACTTGTCGATACCCTGGCGATCGTCACTCCGCCAATCCAACCAAGATGCAAGTCCACCCATGTCCTGCAGGTATGTATCGACCTCGCCAGATTGTGATCACCCTGTCGAGCCTGTTCCGCCCGCCAATTCACCACAGGGGAAAGCTTGCAGATAGCTACTCAACCCAAGCTGGCCTTAAGCATAAAAGAGAGAGATGCAGACAGATAACTGCACTTGCAAAATCTATATTTCCGCGCGTGGGAAAGCTTGCACGCATGTGGGAAAAGGGCCAAAGTAAGAAGGAGAAGAGAAGAGAGGGAAGGGAGGGGACCAGCCTGGACGTCGTGCATGGTCAAACCACATCCCAGGAGGGGCGTGGCTGCTCTCCACGCAGCGATCCGATCTATACGGTCACCGTGGCGTCCCAAGAACACGAGGGACAGGAGGCAAGGAGAAAGATCAGTGAAGGCGTAGGGGAAAGATAGGGCAAAAGAAGATGAGAAGGAGAGAGAGTTGGGAGAAGGGAGAAAGACAGTCAGAGCTGTCAGAGGGAGACGCAGGATAGGAAAGTCGAGCACTAAAGGCAGATGATTGTAAACTTTTTCCTCCTTCACGCTTTCAAATGAAACAATCTATGCCATCCTTAATTCATCTCCTTAAGCTTTACATGGAGTATTGCACATAGGCGAGAAGGAAAAAACGCAATGCGCGGGCAGGAAACAAAGCACAAAGACAGCGAGAGACTGAAAAACTGATCATGGAAGTCGTCAGGCGAACTGTCGGCACGGGAAAATGCCGGGGCCTAAATTCCAAGGCACACAGGCGAAATCCAGAACAAATTCAAAAAGGATTCGAACGTGCTCGCTCAGGCATTTGAAACCGAAAGCGCAAAAAAAAACAAAGTCGTATCCTAAATACTTGACAAGCCCTACCAAAGAGGGCATCCGTGCGAATTCTCGGAAGTTCCACGGCACCGACAGAAAACAGCCTGGCAACAAGCTATTGTACACCCCCAATTGCACACACACACAAAAAAAAAAAGGAAAAAAGAAGTGCAGAAAATAGCGCACATCCAGAAAAGCATGCCTCACAGGGTAGAAAGCGCAAAAAAAAAAACGCTCCTCCATTCTGTGACCGACACTTCTCATCACAAACCATGATCCAGAAGCAGTGCTGCACGGCGGTTGTCTTGTTCATACATCGCTTTTGTCATAGCAACACAGCCTGGAGCCTCTCATGTAACTTGCATACGGCACAACAACAAAGAGTGTGGCAGCTATTTACCTGATAAATCTTAATCAAGGCGGCCACGTTTAGATCTGCCTCAACACTGATTAGGAATCTTCATCAAGACCACTATACTTAGACCTGCCTCAACACTAATTAGTAATTAGGAATTCCTTGAAGAGGACAGCAGCATGCTGTAGAAACTGCGGAAAAGGCTCTATCACATATTCATCAGATTGATCCACAACTACATAGCCGATGCAGCTCTGCCAACGCTAAGCTTTTGACCCGACGACATGACACCATAGATTACGCCTGGTTAAGGCTCCTTATGAGGGTCCAAAGATGAAGAAAGGCCCCCTGACATAGGCTGTCGTTGGACTGTTTTCCCTAGGCGCCTTCAGCAGGCCACCGCACCACACCCCACAACCACAGTAGGACCCAGTTTTATAACCAGATGGTGGGCTGAATGAGTCAGGATCTTTGGCAAAGAAGCAAGCTGTAGTTGGACATCTTGCAACCTTCAGAGCAGATACAGGGGAGGAAGCACACATTTCCCCTCTCGTTGCCCTGCCTCCCCCACCTGCCGCTGTCCCCCTCCAACTACATCTCATCACTGCACACATCATCCCACACCCACACCCACACACACACACACACACACACACACACACACACACACAGAG